TAAAGAAGCTGAAGCCCTTTAATTATTTCATTTGATAAATCTAAAATATAAAAATATTAATATAAAAATTTTTAAAGTAATATTTTTTAAATAAAATATTAAAAATAATTACCATTAAATTCAACATTATCAAAATTCTCTTCTGATTCAAAATTTATTTTTTTATTATTTTCTGATTCATTCTCCTCCAATTCATCCTCCTCTAATTCATCCTCCTTCTATTCATCCTCCTCCAATTCATCCTCCTCTAATTCATCCTCCAATCCATCCTTCTCTGATTCATTCTGCTCTGATTCATCCTCCTTTGATTCATCTTCTTCTAATTCATTCTCTTCTGATTCATCCTCCTCTGATTCATTCTCTTCTAATTCATTCTCTTTCAATTCATAATTATCTAATTTCTCATTTTCTAAATCTAAAAAATTTAAAAAATTAATTCAATTTTTTTTTTTTATTTTTTTAAGGTGTCCTTCGGGACCGAGCTTTATTGATGTTTAACTGTTGACCACATGGATCTTACATTTAGTATTACAATGAGAGTACAACTAGCCATACGTACAACTTTTGGTTGCCTATTTAAGAGGTCGTCTAAAGCAGAGGCACATCATGTGATCAACAGCTAATAAAATTACAGAATTTTGATGATCGCCAGCGAAGCAAAAAAAACAAAAAACCCGAAAAATACAAAAAACGGCAGTCTAAACCTACCTCAGGTAGGTTAATCAAAAATGTCGAGAACGCAATTTTGTTTATATTTATCTACTAAAACCTAGCCTAACCCCAATATAGAAGACCCTAACCCTAAAGTTAATTGAAAAAATTATTAAATATGAGTTGCCTCTGCTTTAGACGTCTCCCAAATAAGGAAATCGCATTCTAGAATGATCTACAAGTGAATTCTTAAATGTGATTGGCTCTTACGTGCATTTTCTCTTACAACCATTATACAATTTGAAAAAAAATTTTTAATAGTTAGTATAACCTCAAAGGCTTTGAACATGTAGTTTAGAATATCTAGTTTTAAACATCTCAAAAAATCTCATATAGTAAACTTTCTTGGCTAAAGTAAATAAGACATTAAAACCAGGTATTTGCTTCATATAAGAAGTTAGAAATCGTTATCAGTCAACTTAAAACAATCTTAAAAGTTTGTTTTTATGTTTAAATGAAGATTTAAAAGGCTATTTATATTAATTATTATAGGTTAATTTAGTTACAACTTCGTAGATATTAATATAATTCACGAAAGAGAATACTCATAATATTCAAGAAAGATTCAAATTACAAATCAATAATATAAGTTGTGTTTTTTAACAATACTGTATATGCGGGTGGTGTTGCTTAATAGTATAGATTGAATGTTGTAATATTTAATTAGTAAAGGTGAAATTAATTAAATAGAATAAAATTGGTATTTAAATTATTTAATAAGAAGTAAAGCTTTGTTAATAGCTTCGTCTAATAATAAGATATATTCAATCGATATGAGCTTTGATTAATTTGATTGGTTGATGTTCATGTGCTATGAAATCTAGAATCTTCTGATCGACATCCTTATACTATAAAAGGTGTGATCTTCAATATCCATTTTTGGAATATTCCCTGACTATATTAGAACACTTAAATTGGAAACAACATAGACCCTAAC